AAAAAAAAAAGATTTGTTTATAAACAAAAGTTAAACAATAATTGGCACATTATGCTGCTTTTATTATAAAAATTTTAGCTGTATAATTGTGTATTTATTATAAAAATTAAGCATTGTCACTTTTCACCAACTTTTATATAACCTCAAATTTAAGATCAAATGAAATAAATAAAACAAATGGTTATCAGATATATTCAATCAATATGACCATACCAACTTTTATATAACCTCAAATTTAAGATCAAATGAAATAATAAAACAAATAGTTATCAGATATATTCAATCAATATGATCATTTTGTCTTCTGAGTCAAAACTATATAAATACTTATTTTAACTCTCTTATTATTGTTGAGACCCCTCACTCTTTATGTTACCATTTTCTATTTTTTTTTTTTTTACTCAAGTAAAGGTTAATCAACATTTTTTAGATTCATTTCATATGGATATGATATATTTTTTTGAAAAATACATTTCTTTTAGTCTACTAAATTATGTTATATATGATAAATATAACATCATTAGTTTTTATTTCACTCTATTTTTATTTTATTTATTATTTAAGAAAATATATTATATAATAAAATAAATAAAGTATGAAATTTGGAGGTCTAAATTCACATTTTTGTTAAAAAAGAATGACACGTTGACTTGACTAACTATTACTTCAACTTACATCAGAGTTTGTGAATGATTAGATATTTTACAATTTAAATTAAAAGATCTTGTTTTGGAATGAGGTACTCAATACAAATAAATTAATGATCACTTGTAATTTCTTAGAATTATATAAAGATATAAAATATTACAATATTAAATTAATAAGAGATGGTTACATATTTTCTTAATGTGTATGTAAATTTTATCAATATAGAGTATATGTTTCAAATATACTATTACATATTTTTTTATGAAAATATATGAACATGTATATGTTAAAATAAAACAATGACGAATTTAAATTGACATATCAAATCTAAAAATTTATCTATATATATGCATATAGATGTTAAATTAAAAACTATAAAAATATTTGTTTCTTATGTTACATATAGATATCATATTAGTTATGATTTTTTCTATTTTACCTTGAAATATACCCAATATAACCGAAAACATAATATTGTGTTTGATGTTCCAATAAAAATAATAATATTATTAAATAAAATATTTGACTTGAAATTTTATTTTAGTGATTAATTAAATAAGATTGAATATTTATTATTATAAAAAAATATATTATAAAAGGAAAGGAACTCATACTCACAAACGGAAAGAGAGACAAATAATAAGTGAGATATTGGGATGAGAATTCATAATATATAATTATGTATAATATTAAACATTATTTGTAACAAATAATTGATTACAAAAAAAAATACATAATTAGGATTTGTATAATAATTGATTATGACTAAAATAAGTATTTATTTGTAACACATATTTATGATATTATTTGAATGGTATATAATACATAAAAATTAACAAAATTTATTTCATGGTAATAGATGTAGTTAAAGCATCTATTTAGTCAAGAAAAATTGGAGTGCAAATTCTAATACAATTATGATATAAATTAATTGTTTAAATGACATAAATATTTTTTGTTGATAAATCATGCATAGAAATTGATAAAATTTATTACAATGTATTAAATGTAGTTTTGGAGGGAAATTTTGAGCTGCTTTGCTTTAATATATATATATAGATAAGAGATCTTGTATTGTTGGACAACTTTTGAATATGTTAATTTTTATGTTCCTTAATTTTAAATAATACCTAAGATGACAATTATTTTATAACATGTAAAATACATATTTAAATCATATAAACTATTTTATATCTAAACTTAATATCAATATTCTAGATCATTTTTGTGTTAATCGATGATTATTATTTGTTGTAATTTATAGAATTTATCATTATTATCTCATGTATCGCACGGGCTTGCTCGGCACCAATTGATAAATGAAACATGCAATGAATGAAATTTTGAATTAAGGAGTGGACAAATGCCGAAGATCCAGGGCAGATAACATTCCTTTCGGCATTTTCCTAATTTATTTAAGTGTTGACACAAAGTAGGGTCAAATAACAAGAGATTCTACGATATCCTTTCGTCTGATGTCCCTTTATTTTTCCATATCCAAATCACTTCCACAATATCTAGAAAAATCATATTTCTATAATAATTCAAGGACTAATATTTATTTGCATTGACAGATAGTCGTTGTTATGGGTTATGTAAAAATTGCATATTATGATTGTAATTCCAACTGACTTCATTCACCCTAATGTCTTTCTCCTTTATACGATATAGTCGAATTTCTCAAAAGAACGACAATATAAGGACGTTCCTCGTAACCCTATAAGCAATATGCATAAACCAATTTCACAAAATATACTAGAGAATAATTTTTCGAAAAAGAAGAGGTTAAAATAGTTCACAGTAACTTAATAGGTAGAACAAGGACACCCACACCAGGATTACCAAAAGGATGAAAGGACATCGTGCTGAGTCTGTAATGGTAAAACAAATCTAAGGCTACAAATATTAAGGTTTTATCTCTGTTAAGTATAGCAACACAAATACATCGGACAATACAAGCAGGCCATCGTCACCCAAAGCCATTTCTCGTCATCCCTCGAAAAGTTCAAAAGTAGAGAACCAACAGAATCTAAAATTTGAAATCCTTCTTCTTTGATTTGTTCTCCTTGTCCTGCATCTTCCGTTTCCTCTTCTTCTCATTCTGAAACATTTTTCCCAACAAATCAGAAACTACCAACAAAGAGGGAATAAAAAAGTTTTGGTTCCAAATTAGTGTGCGTACCTCGGCAACCATGTCACTGAAATCCTCCCGCTGGGTCCGCAATTTCTCCTCTTCTCTAGCTTCCTCATACCTGGACAGAAGCATTAGAAGAATTTAAGTCAAGTTCAAGTGATTTGAAAAACCAGTAAATCAAGCAATCACAAATTTGTCCTCAACGTACTTGGCTGGCAATACATTGTCCAAGACATCCAACTCCTCCGGTGCTAATGTAACGTCAACTTTGTCTGATTTCTGGCCTCTCAGCAAATCAACCTGATGAAATGAAAAGTTAAATGAAAGGAGACACGAACAAGAGAATCTTACACACACACACACACACACACACACACATATATATATATATGCTATGCAAGTTTCCTGCTTAAACTGAAAACATTTAAGTCATCAATCATAATTTTGACATCTTCATATGAACTTCCATTCTAGAAAATCTCCTGGAAAGAAGCAAAACTGAGAAAAATCGATGTCCTTACTCTTTTAGCACCAGTTTTGTCCTGTGCGCCTGTGTTAATCACATACCTGCATCGGATATATATGACAATTCAGATGTAAAAGTTAAGTTTCATAAGGGATATAAATTTGTCAACAAAAAATGACGACATACGTATGGCCTGGAGCAAGCAAAGTTCCCGGTGCTATCTTCTCTTCCTTTTCTTCAAGCACCTAGACACCAAGAAATGGATGGTAAGTGACTTGCCAAGAAAGAATGCCGTAAAAGAGTGAATTTTTTTTTTTTTTATTTAAAGATGGTTACTTGATAAAGTGGCCTGTCAGGTTCCTTTCTTTGTTGCTTCCGAAGATCAATAACATCAGGAGTTTCAACGCCCGTCGGTGTACTAGAATCCCACAAATCAGAAAATAAGTTAGCAAGTAGCAACTTTAACAGAAAGTCCTAAACATTATCATGATCATCACTAACTGTGACCACAATAAAAAATCTATTCAACTAAAAAAGTTGACAGAGGCAGAAGAATACACAATACCTTGAAAGACTATCAACAGACTGAATACCATCTTCCAGCTCAGCTTCATCCATTTCTTCCTCTTGCTCTTCTTCCTCTTCTTCTTCTTCCTCTTCCTCTTCCTCCAAATCTCCCCAGTGCTTTGTCTTGTCGACTGGTTCCTCCTGAAAACAATCATTATGAGAATCAAATGCAACAGAATTCCATGCCTGAATTCAGAAATGATATGTGGTTTACAGAACAAGATGGAAATTGTTAAAAAGCCAGATGCAGTACCTCATAATTGGGTTGATCATTTTGCAGAACACCAAAAACATCTCCATAGAGGGGACGGCCATACTATTTTCAGAAATATGCAACACCAAATATAAGAAAATAAATAAAGATTTAAAATAAAGATACATCGTCAGAAAAGAGATGAAAATTAAAACCTACTTCATCCACAGGAGGTTTCCCCCAGTCTCCATGTCCGTAGCCAAATTTAGCTCCAGGTGGAATAGGGGCATTAAGCCCTGGAATTTTCAGATGAGGATAAGAAGGTGGGGGACCGTACCTCTGCAATTGCAGAAGAATAGATACAATATGACGAATAATTTCCAGGAAACTAGTCGAGTGGAACAAATGGAAAACAGTAGACAATGAATTATAGTCTAACCTGCATATTGATGAGCCATGGAGGAGGGGCGCCTTCAGGCATGCCAAGAGCCTCTTTTAATTCCTGTGACAATGTCCCAGGCTTCATTTCTCGCAATTTAACCTGGTAGCAACCAAATCAAAGTGAATACATCTCAGTATATATGCATAGTTTACAACCAAAGCACATACCATTTTCCATATCTATGTGACATCCTATAAATGATACAGACAAGTTCCAAAGCAATGGCCAAATCAAACCTAGTAATTGGACAATGTATAGACTTACAAAGATTCTTCAAGCAAAGGAAGAAAAAAAGAAAACGACGCCATACAAGTCCATGGTTTAACAGTATCACACAAAAAATCCACTGTATAACCCTTGTGGATCGTACACATTGAATGACCCTTGCATGTCTCAGGACGTAAATTTTGTCATCCTTACCTCAAATTCCTTCCCCTCGTAATATAAATCACCATGAGTTGTCAATTTAGGTTTAGTCTGATGCTTGAAGAAGGCATCATGAAGAACCTATAAAATTTGGAAGTTGATAAATTAAGGTCAGAAGAAGGCACAAAAAAAAACATATAAAACAAACTTACACTCGTTAACTACCTAATGAACACTGGACATACACAATAATCTCAACGTACCTGATAATCAATGTCCATCTTTCCCATTTTAGGCTGCATTCTTTCACGCTGCTTTTGCTTCAATTTTTTACTGTCCTCCTTTTCAATGTATGCCTGACAGGTTAAAACCAACCCAAATCAGCAAGCCCCAAAACGATTGAACTAAAAAGTGCAGTCAGTAACTAAAGACAATCAAAGCAAGAGAAACAATTGCAAAAACATGGATGAGCATAGGCATGCATAAAAAATCCTGCTGCAGTAAAAGTGTACTGTCAAGAGGTGTATATCCATATGTGATTCCTAATCCTTGAAAAACCAACTCCTGTTACAGCAAATCCGCTCAAAACTACTTGAAGAATGCCTGCAGAGGAATAAAAATTCAATCGAGCTAAACAGAAAATTTGTTCTTACTTGTCTAATTTTCTCGATTCCTGTGGCAGCAATGAAGTCAGGAAGTTGAAAAGGTTGCTTCTCAATACCTCTCTTTCCCTGCAAACATTACAGAAGCAGTAAACAAATTGTTAATCCAGACAAACATAATTACTACAACCAAATTAAAATGAACAAATGTCCTTAAGAAAAGTATTTAACTTCCTGACATTCAATGTTTCAATTCTTAAATAAGGGTCTCAGTAGAAAAAATTGCCTATTAGTGTAAATTGTTACCTCCTCAAATCCAAATATTAGTTAAATGATAACATTAACATATTTTCACAAGATTTGACGCAAAACCAAAAATACTTAATGCCTTGACTTTCAAACTGACAGAAGCTGCATCCACACAAAAAATTTTATGTCTGCTTCAGTTCGAGTAACATTACTAGCTCATTGCCTTGATCAGTAAAAGCAATCCATCAAAGATTCCTAGGATTTCTCATCATCCTCAGATCTCAATTACATGTTTAATCCCCAAATATTGGTTTTCAATAAAATTTTAAGGTCAAATAAGACCAACACCCAATCCAGACTCGAGTATATTGAACAAAATTCACGCAAGGATTTCCTTGCAAACACCTACTTTTCAAGGCTCCACAAGCGCCACTGCAGCTCCCCTGCAAGAACCACATGCACATGTATAAGACAACCTCAATGACTTCTAGTCCATTCCCACTTCCTAAATACACCGATCAACGACCCCATCATTCCCCATCAGAATTTTATAACACAACATAAAAACAAGGCAAACATGTCCAAGCAATGTATGGGTTACACTTATCCCAGTACAGAAATAAGCCACTGTAACAAACCTGTAAAAATTTCCTTTTCTGGCACCAGTGTCGCGGTACAGCAACAGTGTTCCGGTATGATTTTAGATATACCAACAGCTTTGGATCTGATGCAGTTGCATCCCATACCTGGAAAGCAATAACAGAAGTGTCGAACAGTCATTGTAGAGACATAAATTATAAGCTATTAGTTTCAACGAAGATTGTTTTAGTTTAAGATAAACTAACAATTAGTAACCGATCCAAAGAAATTTTTTTTTGCCAGAATCTCAATTTGAGCTCTTGTTGCCACATGAAAGTTTAGTCTCAGTATCGTTAGGGTGAAATGAGGTAAATGGGTAAAAAAAGGACAAATAAGATAAGAGGGATTTCAGCTGCATATAAAAAGGGATCTTATATACAAGCCAAAAGCAAGGGCATCGGCATGCAAGATTTTAATCTATTCACTTCAGACTGACTTGAGGCAAATGGTTCCATAAACCACCCCTGATAGAGCATTAATATGATATAATATATATATATATATATATATATATATATATA